ACGACGACGACGACGACGAAGACGAAGACGACTACTACAACGGTAACGACGCGATTCCCGACGACGTACGACGACGACGGTGGAAAAAGGTCTCTCCTCTTCCGCGTTCGAGTCCTTGACGGAGGAGGAACCGAAACTGACTCAGGTCTGTGGCTCGCGAGAAACGCTAAGTCCTTCTCCGAGTCGGGGGTCGGTGGTGGCGCGCTTCTCAGACCGCGTGCGTCTGACTAAAAGCCACCCCCTCGTGCCTTAAAGAACGCGTGTTCGGGTAGGGGCGTTGTCTTAGGTGGTGCGCGGTCGCGAAATTTCTGGCCGCCTCGCTCGCCTTTGCTCGTCTTTCTTCGCCTCCCTTCGACTCCCTTATACTCCGTTTCCTTAATAGGAAGATTGTAGGAGACGGGTCCACGGGGCCTGGGCGAGGGCCCAGGCTACCCTGGACCGTGCTTAAGCCTCGTACGAATCCTTCCGGGTCGAAAATACACCTAGCCGAGAAGGAAAAAGCAGAATACGTCGTAGGACAGGAGTTTTCAAGCCACCCCTCTTTTCCTTTGCCCCCACCAAACGACGTAGGAGCGTGGCGCGCGCTCTGTCTCCCCTTTCCTCAGACCTTTCTCTCCCTTACCTTTGCCGCCGCCGCCACCGCCGCCGCCGACGACGCCACCGCCGTCCTCCCCCGCCGTACGCAAACTACCCTTAGTCGCCGGGTGGGAGCCGGAGACTCCGTCGACGCCTCAAACGGGGGTAAACGTCGTATAAGGGGTGAGAAAGAGTGGGAGATCTCTCCTTTTCTCATTTCTTCTCCTTTCCTGCTCCGTGCCTTTCTTTTCGCCTACCCCACTCGCGCTTACCTTCCTCCCCCTTCGTTTTTCCACTTTCTCTCTCTTTCTCACTCCCTCTCTATCGCACTTTCGCACTCTCTATTTATCTACCTATCTATCTATCTATCTTTCTATCTATCTATCTATCCATCCGTTTTACTTTCTTTCTCCGACACACCGAGTTACTTTCGCAGGGGAAGAAAACTGCTAAGGAGTCCTCCTTTTTCGCGTCGTTTCTCTTTTATATGTTAATTCACGGATGCTTTGACTTACTCCGAGAATTCTCCTAGATACATATATGTATGTATAAAGCTATGTATATATGCATGTGTACAAAATTTCTTCTTATATGTCGCGATCTAACTTCAAAGTAAGCTACTTCAAGCAACGTGCGAACGTCACGAGGCAAGCTGTTCGACTGACTGAAAAATTGTGTGGGAGCTCTTAGAAAAGGGGGTGTGCGTAATGAAGGTCCGAGGTGGAAATAAAAAGAAGGGAGAAACACCGTATAAAAATGGTCTCCTCCCTCAGTACACCGCGCCGTGCCCCGTATGGCAAGACGAGCATGACTAATCGTACCGCGGGGGAGTGGGGTGAACGAGAAGAAGAAAAAATAGCCTTTTTTCCCCTTCCAATTGAGCACCCTACTCCGTGCGGACCCCCTTGTTCTAGAAAGACTTTTTTTTCATTGGTTCCCTCGTGACAGACAGGGGAAGAAATATTTTCTTTCAGCGAATCTCATCGGTTGGGAAAAAAGAAGGTTCGTGTCCAGCCTTGAAATGGTAAAGGACGTCGACTTTGTAGGTAGAGTCGAGTCGATGTTCATTTTGTGGTGTAGAGGGTGGTCGATGGTTAGCTATGTCGTCTTACGCGCCCCTCTCCACAACCCTCTCTTTACCTTCCTCACCCCCGTTTGCCACCCACCTCCCGCCGTGAGAATCTCTCCTTGTATTCGTCTAACGTGCGCGGTGGCCTCTTCCCTATCGAGTGAGCTTTCCATCCCTTCCACTTCCTACCGAACGTCTCTCCCTTCCTCGCTACTCTTCCGCTCAGTCTTTCTTTTGTTTCTCTCTCTATCTACTTCTGTTCTACCATCTCTCTATCTCTCTCATTCTCACTTTTTCTCCCACCGAGCGCGGGCCACCCTCTCTTTCTCTCTCTCCCTTCTTTCGACACGTTTCATCCCCACCGAACGAGCAACCCCCACGCGCCGCATTTTTACGCTGGTCTTGTCTTTTTTTC